AGCCACAAAGGCAAGTAATACAGTGCAACAGAAAAAAGCAGTCCAGAGGAGTCTTTCTTTCTTTCTTTTTTTTTTTCTTTTCTTTTCTTTTTTTTCTTTCTTTCTTTCCTTTCTTCTTTTTTTTTTTGAGACAGAGTCTTGCTCTTGTCACCCAGGCTGGAGTGCAGTGGCACGATCTTGGCTCACTGCAACCTCCACCTCCTGGGTTCAAGTGATTTTCCTGCCTCAGCCTCCCGAGTAGCTGGGATTACAGGCATCCACTACCACGTCCAGCTAAATTTTGTATTTTTAGTAGAGACGGGGTTTCACCATGTTGGTCAGGCTGGTCTCCAACTCCTGACCTCATGATCTATCTGCCTTGGCCTCCCAACGTGCTGGGATTACAGCCATGAGCCACCTCACCTGGCCAGGAGTGTTTTATTAATGTAACAAGTTTAATCTGAAGTAAGTCTTATATCTCCTAGTATGTTTTTTGGAAAAAAAAGAAAAAGCCAAGGGAACAAAACCAGAGTGTTGAAATGCTACCTCAAATATATATATATAACTCAAACTGACAATTGGCATAGTTTCTGACAGTGCTGCTGCTTGCCAGCAGATTATTGACAGACTGACACTTTTTCCATTCTTGAATAAATATAAACTTTGTCTCTCTAGCTCTTAGTTTAATAAAAATCCCTGAGAAGGAGGATGTGCAGGGTGGAGTTGCTGGAGAAAACTTATGTCTTGTAGAAACTCATAACTACTCAATTTACCAACTTAAAAATTAGCTACACATTAGGAAATGTAGCTTGTCACATTTAATAAGGAACTGAGATTATCAGGAAGTCTTGTGTGAGGCTCAGGATCCAACATGTAACTGGGCCCAGCATATATTACTGTTACCTGACTTCAATAAGAAATTTTAGAAACACAAGTCTGCCTCCCAGTGTAATTGCCTCAGATTTTGTAGCACATCTCTTAACTGGAGCTTGATAATTCCCCTGAAATTAATTCTATTGGTCATATTAAAGAACTAGGTTAAAAAGTCTTTATTGCTGTACTGTAAAGCCTGTTTTGCGTGGAAGACCCTGATCTGCTTTTAGCGAATTCCCCAAACTCTGGGTATGCTCACTGACAACACAAGTTGTAATCCTTTTTTGAGACAGGGTCTCACTCTGTCACCCAGGCTGGAGTGCAGTAGCCCAATCACAGCTCACTGAAGCCTCAGCCTCCCAGGCTCAAGTGATCCTGCCCCCTTGGCCTTCCAAAGTGCTGGGAGAATTACAGGCATGAGCCACCATGCCCAGCCCATTTTAATTTTAACATACCAATTATTTGTTATACAGATCCATTAGGATGTTGAATGCTCCTTTAAAACTTTGTTGTATTTGTCGGCTGGGCGCGGTGGCTCACGCCTGGAATCCCAGCGCTTTGGGAGGCCAAGGTGGGCCGATCACAAGGTTAAGAGATCGAGACCATCCTGGCCAACATGGTGAAACCCCGTCTCTACTAAAAAAAAATACAAAAATTAACTGGATATGGTGGCGCACACCTGTAGTCCCAGCTACTTGGTAGGCTGAGGCAGGAGAATCACTTGAACCTGGAGATTGCAGTGATCCAAGATGGCACCATTGCACTCCAGCCTGGGCAACAAGAGGGAAACTCCATCTCAAAAAAAAAAAAAAAGCAAAACTTTGTTATATTTTTTAAAAGCCGTAAGGCCTAGATCAGTCTTATATGTGACTAGAATGTAGCTCCTATGGGCAGAGTTTGTTGTTGTTGTTTTTTGTTTGTTTGTTTGAGACAGGGTCTTGCTATAGTGCCCAGGCTGGAGCACAGTGGCACAATCTCAGCTCACTGCAACCTCCTGGGCTCAAGCCATCCTTCCACCTTAGCCTGCCTAATAGCTGGGACTACAGGCATGTGCCCCCACACCTGCTAATTTTTGTAGAGTGGGGTGTGTTACCATGTTGCCTAGGCTAGTCTCCAACTCCTGAGCTCAAGTGATCCTCCCACCTCAGCCTCCCAAAGTGTTGGGATTACAGGCATGAGCCATTGCACCCAGGCAGGTATTTGTTTCCTCTTTTGTTCAGTGATTCGTATCTCCTCATCGTAGAGTGGTGCCTGCCACATAGAAGGCCTGCAGATATTTGCTTAATGAATGGCAAGTGGGTGTCAAAAATCTGTACTCGTATTACTATTTTGACACCTTGACCTGAAGAAATTAACCACAAATAATAGAATTCCAGTTTTTCTTTATCCTCATGTCTCTTGTCTCTTACGACAAGAATGCTGCTTTTGTCTCTTATGACAAGAATGCTGAAGTCTCAAGGAGAAAATTGATTTGAGTCTGTTTGGCCAAAATAAGTGGTTTATCAAAACTCTGGCCCCTACTTTGTAAAATATTGGTAAATACAAGAACTCGGCCAGACACAGTGGCTCACGCCTGTAATTCCGACACTTTGGAAGGCCTTGGCTGGCAGATCACTAGAGATCAGGAGTTCGAGATCAGCTTGGCCAACATGGTGAAACTCTGTCTCTACTAAAAATACAAAAATTATCCAGGCGTGGTGGCACACACCTGTAATCCCAGCTACTCGGGAGGCTGAGGCAGGAGAATTGCTTGAACCTGGGAGGTGGAGGTTGCAGTGAGCCAAGATCACGCCACTGCACTCCAGCGTGGGTGACAGAGCGAGACTGTATCTCAGAAAAAAAAAAAAAAAGCCCTAAGTATTCAGATACTTGAAGGAGCATTTTGCAGCTAGCACCTGACAGGCATAGTGGAGAAGTTGCCTGTTACTGAGAACAAACATTGCAAGATCCTTATGATTACTTTCTTGCCTCCCCTTTTCTGTAGTCTCCTGTTTTATTGATCTTAATGTCACCTTTGTAGTGAGCCACCTCACATATTTTAGGAAAGTTGTATAATTTGTGTAATATTTTGTCTTTCAGAATTCATCCAGTAAGTATGAGCACTTAAAACTAGGAATCAAACTTGGAGAGGCTGTTGCCTCATCTAGCACAAGTGTTATGTCGTACGCAGTATGGAGAAAGATCAACTATCTTTTCTGTAAGGAACAAAAAAGTCTGATACAGTGGAGAAAACTATTCTAGACAGAAATTGAATACAGTTTTCTTGTTAGAATGATTGTTCTTTTTTGTTATTGTTGCTTTTGTTTTGTTTTTTGAGAAAAGGTCTCGCTCTGTCACCCAGGCTGGAGTGCAGTGGCGCCATCTCTGCTCACTGCAGCCTCCGCCTCCTGGGTCCAAGCAATTCTCCCACCTCAGTCTCCCGAGTAGCTGGGATAACAAGCGCGCCAGCGCGCCCGGCTAATTTTTGCATTTTTAGTAGAGATGGGGTTTCACTTGACGTCAGGTGATCCACCCACTTCGGCCTCCCAAAGTTTGCTGAGATTACAGGCGTGAGCCACCATGCCCTGCCAATTGTTCTATTTTTAGTACTTCTCAGAGATTTTAATTTCTTTAACTTAGAAGAACAGTCACCCAGGCTGAATACGTGGTCTCAGTGCAGAATTACATGAAAGAAATTTGGCCCAATTTATCTCAAAGGCCCTTAGAACTCCATCAAGTAAGAGAGGGAAGGGATATTGCATGAACATAGCAACTATCCCTGCATTCAAGTGGTTTAGGAGGTTGGGTAGAACCATTTACTAGAAAAGGGTGCTGAAGAGAAAATCTGGAGTTGTCTTCTCTGTTACACTTTAAAAGATCATCTAGTCACAGAAAGCCTGAAAATAAGTTGGCAAGATGTAAACTAATGGGAACTCTTAAAATTGGTAACACTGCTTGGAAAATGAATTTAGCATTTATAACCTTTTATTTTTTTATATTTTTTATTTTTTTATTTTTGAGACAGAGTCTCGCTCTGTCGCCCAGGCTGGAGTGCAGTGGCCGGATCTCAGCTCACTGCAAGCTCCGCCTCCCGGGTCTACGCCATTCTCCTGCCTCAGCCTCCCGAGTAGTTGGGATTACAGGCGCCCGCCACCTCGCCCGGCTAGTTTTTTGTATTTTTTAGTAGAGACGGGGTTTCACCGTGTTAGCCAGGATGGTCTCGATCTCCTGACCTCGTGATCCGCCCATCTCGGCCTCCCAAAGTGCTGGGATTACAGACTTGAGCCACCGCGCCCGGCCTCTATAACCTTTTAAAGTTGAACATGTGCATGCCCTACAACCCATCAACTTCACTTTAAAGCATTTATAGAAAAAGTGCACCATGGTGCATAAACAAGGAAAGTAGTCAAAATAATTTGATTTTAAGTCAGAGACATTCACCAATCAGACCAGCAGTTAATCAGAACTTAAACAATACGGCCTTACAGAGGCATTGCTCATGGCATTCACAGTAGCAAAAGGATCCAAATGCCCCCCAAAAAATGACCCAAATGCCCATTGACAGGAGCATTGGAATATTATGGTGTATTTCTAGAACAGAAGGCAACAATGAAAATGATTCACAGTATTACAGATTAGCATGGCTAAACCTATGAGGAATACTGAGGTTGAAGAGTTCACAAATAAAACTTGTATTTTAGGATGAGCAAAGAAAAGAGAATGGGAAACAGTCACCTCCTGGGAATCCTAATGGGAGAAGGAGGAGCATACAGAATCTCAACAGTATTGTTGATGTCCTGTCTCTTGCATGTTAGGTTCATGTGTTTTGGTAGGTGGTGGTTTTACAAGTTTTTATTATGTCTCAGCCTCCACATAGGCTACATGTATTGTTTTGTACATTTTTTAAGTATGTATATGATCCGATTTATATATAATTGTATCTGTATACACAAACATTTTTATTTTTAAAAGCTGGTTAATAAGATTACATAAATGAGAATTTCAGGAAATGCTACAGGAATTCAAGAGCGGCACACGCCTGCACTTATTAAGCACTCAAATGATGATCTGTTTAATTTAAGCTGGGTCTCAAAGGATGGATACCAGACAGAAATTTTAAATGAAAGTGAAGAGAGCACACCACAGTATATGCAAGGTCAAAGAAGTGGGAAAGTTCAAAACATTCAGAGAAACACAAGTATGAGTGTTTCATTTTTATTGGATAATAGTGAGGAGATACATTTAGGAAAGGAGAGTTAGGAAAGTAGAACGGGGACAGCCTGGAGGCACTGCAGGACACAGTGCAGGAGATGATCAAGTTATGGACAATCAATGCTTTTTTAGTGGGGAAAAGCCATGCTTAGAGACAAAGGAATAAATAGTTCAGTTAAATGTTTGAGTTCTCCTCATCCAATCCCAGGTCAAATGAGAAGAGGCAAGAAGGAAGCTAGCTAACAACACCTACTGTGGACCAGTGCACTGCTAGTTTGCTCACTATCAAATTTGTCCCAGACGCTTTTACAGAGTAGGTGGTATCACCCTACTTTTACATTTAATGAGAGGTGCTGGGGTTAAATGATTTGACCATGTTCACACAGCTAGTAAAATGGTAGTACCTGAATTCAAACCAAGTGTATATGATTCTAAAGTATATTCACTTTTCTCCACACACCAACATAGTTTAAAAAACAAAAACTCAGGAATGAGAACACTGAAGAAGGCTTAGTTGGTAGTCACCCTTTACTTGATGTCAAAACTTAATAAGCTGCTTCCCTGATAGCTCAATGAACATTTATGTGTATTTGCTGGCTTTTATATGCAAATTTTACATGTTTCCTTTGTGAAGATTTTAGGATCCTAAAGAACCTTCTCATAACTGTACTTTGTGCATTATACAGCCACATGCATTTCCCTCATGGCACAACTCACTGTGCCTTGTATTTTAGTCGTGTCCATATCTGTCTAGCTTGGAAGCTTTAGAAAGATAAGGCCGTGTTGTCTTCATGATTGTGGTACTCACCATGCCTCTGTGTTTCTCATGGAGTGGACATTCATTGTTCAGTAGATATTTTATACTCGAGGCTGGAAATTAATCATCACAGCACCCGTACCTTGCAAAAACAAGGGTAGGAACAGGGAGAAGTCAGGAAGGATCCTTAGGGAAAAGCCAGAAGAATGAAGCTGGAAGCACCCATTTTCCTCAAGATTTTCACAACCAGTTGATGCTGCTTGGCCCATTCTCCCATTTATAGGCCAGGGAGAAATAGTCAAAGGCATATGTAAGGAAAAGTAAGTTCCCAGTTGGCCCCCTCCTCGTACTTGTAGGTGAATTTGCCATTATTGTGCTGTGTGTGGAAGCACAAGAAGGAAGGAATTAACTCGTTCTTCAGAACTGCTGATTGAGGAGCTATTTGCTGGAAGTACCACAGGTAGGCAGAGCCAGGTTGCCTTTTAAGAGTAATCATTGTATTAGCCAAAAAATCTGGAAGCAATCCAAATATTGAAATGACTTAAATGGTCCATCCACTCTGGAATATTATGCAGTCATTGAAAATGTTTAGAAAGACTAGCAACATGAAAAAAGCCGAGGTATAGAGACAAAAATAAAAAGGTTACACTGGGTGTGGTGACTTAGGACTGTAATCCCAGTGGGAGGATCGCCTGAGTCCAGGAGTTCAAGGCCAGCCCGGGCCACATAGAAGGACTCCGCTCTACAAGGAATGTTTAAAAATTAGGCGGGCGTGGCGGCACCTGTGGTCCCAGCTACTCAGGAGGCTGAGGCGGGAGAATCGCTTGAACCCGGGAGGCAGATGTTGCAGTGAGCCGAGATCGTGCCACTGCTCCAGCCTGGGCGACAGAGCGAGACTCCGTCTCAAAAGAAAAAAAAGCCGGTTTTACCTTAGAGACATAAGGATACGGGGATCAAACAGCTGTGAAGACTTCTTTTTATTTGTTCATTCGACATGCATGTATTAAGCACCCAGTTGGCCAAAAGCTAGGACAAAGCCAGAAAGATTACTGCTGCAGATTCACAGTTACAATACAATGGCCCCTTCTCCCCAGAAGCCACCGCATTCACACGTTGTGCTTTTCTCAGTTCAAGCGGCCTCTTCCTTTTGAGTAACCCGGGTAACCGCGCTGTGCCCGCGTGTGCCGGGTGGGGAGGAGAGCCCGCAGCCCCAGCCCCGCGGGGCCTGGTTGTCTAGTCGAAGGGAAGTAAACGGCCCCAACGCAAGCCTGCCTGCGAGACGTGCCCAACGGGGGTAGGTCGAATGAGGAGGGTTGTGTGAGTTGCGCGGGCGAGCGGGATAACGGAGGAGGGAGGCCCGCGGCCGAGGCTCGGGCGGGCGGGGGGCGGGTAGGGGCGGGGTTCGCCGGCGCGCACTCCCAGGCAGGCCCCGCCCCGTCGGCCAGCTCTGCGCGTTGATTGGCCCCTGCCGGCCTCGCGCTCCCTCGCTCGGGGTTGGCGGGAGACCTTCGAGCGGGTATCGCTGCTGGCGAGCTACCGGCGAGTAACCGTCTGAGGCCCGGAGCGCTGCGGCCGAGGCTTGACCGCCGCTGCCCTGCCCTCTCCCGCGCAGCCCCGGGCTTCCGCAGGTACCTGTGCTCGCCCCCGGGAAGGGCCTCGCAGGCGAATCTCCAGTTTCGAGTATGCCTGGTCCCTGGGTTCTCTCGCCGGCGACCCCACCGCCCGCCTTAGATGAGAAGGCGGTGCTCCAGCCTGGTCCTCACGCCGCCTCCCGTGGGCGCCCTCAGCTGCCTTCGCGGCGACGACACACGCGCTCCCCACAGCGGGTCCTGGGCTGCGGGGCCTGTCGAGGGAAGCAGTGGCCGCGCAGGTTGGGGCGTTGGGCGCCCTCCGCCCGGCGGCGTAGCGTGTAGAGGTTCCAGGGGGAGGACGGGCAGGGCCGAGACCGGAGGCTGCTCCTGAAGCTCGGCCGCCTGCTCAGAGGGAGGGCCCTGGGCAGGAGCTCCCGTCTCCACGTGTGCCCGCCGCCTTTATTGTGGGGGGAATGGAGATTTGGGGGTCTTTTTAATAAATCCTGCCTCTTTATGTCCCATTAAACACCTCTTTTTGCCCCCAAGATCGTCTGCCCCAGAATCTTGAGATCTGAGGTGCTGTGCCTCAGTACCAGGCCCTTAGCCCATGTCTCAGAATTCACGAAGATTCTCTTACATGACATCCAGTAGGACTGGAGGCCCCCTAGTCTCAACCTTTTAAAAAGCCTTATGCCGAGTTGGGCGGATCCTTGAGGCCAGGATTCGAGAGCAGCCCGCAGCGAAAACCCCGTCTCTACAAAAAAAAAAAAAAAAAATTAGCCGGGCGAGGTGGCGGCACCTGTAGTCCCAGCTACTTGGCAGGCTGAGGCGGGAGAATCGCATGAACCCGGGAGGCAGAGGTTGCAGTGAGCTGAGATAAAACCCGTTTCTACAAAAAATAATTTTTTAAACAATTAGCCAGGCATGGTGGCGGGCGCCTGTAATCCCAGCTACTCGGGAGGCTGAGGTGGGAGAATCGCTTGAACCCGGGAGGCAGAGGCGGCAGTGAGCCGAGATCGCCTTATAGCTGGGGTTAGCTGGTTTTGTTTTCTTGGCAAGGTGACGGTAAGTAATACTGGAGTGCTATGTGTCAAGTGTTTTATACATGATGGTATTTAATATTTAAAACAGTGATTTACTGGTTAAAGAATATGGGACTTTGATGTCAGTTCTGCATTCAAATTCTAGCTTTATCACTTACTAATTATAAGCCTTTGGGAAATTTAACTTCTCTAAGCCTCAAATTTCTTATCTAGAAAATAAGGATAAAATAATACCTACCACATAGAGATGTTTTGAGAGTTAAATGAGATAATGCATATAACACATTCATCAGTGTCTGGCACATATTCTGTGTGTGTGACTGCACTCATAAGGAAGTTAAGGCTTACTTGCCTGTCCCAACTGAGTTGCCAATGGATATTGCTATTAGGTTTTCCATATAGGCAAATGAATACCCAAACAACTTCTGCTTGTTTCATTTTATGGCTGTGAACCACCACCCTTTATATTACCCCCCCTCCCGGAGAAGAGGTTATTTCAGATGCCTCTCGAATTTTTGTGATATACTTACCAAAAAAAAAGAAAAACGAAGAAAAAAATCCCAGACATCCTATTCAAGTATGAATTCTGGTATGATTTTTTTAATGTCCATGGAGCCCATACAAAAATTAATTGAAGGAGGCCAAGTGTGGTGGCTCACGCCTGTAATCTCAGCGCTTTGGGAGGCCAAGGCGGGCCGATCACCTCAGGTCAGGAGTTGGAGACCAGCCTGGCCAACATGGTGAAACCCCGTCTCTACTAAATATACAGAAATTAGCGGGGCATGGTGGCGGGCGCCTGTAATCCCAACTACTTAGGAGGCTGAGGCTGGAGAATCGCTTGAACCCAGGAAGCAGAGGTGGCAGTGAGCCGAGATCGAGTTATTGCACTCCAGCCTGGGCGACAAGAGTGAAACTCTGTCTCAAAATAATAATAATCATAGTAAAATTAAAATCATTAAAAGATTTTACCTGATGAGCATAGTTTCTCCTACTTCTCCTTCTTTCCCCATCTCTTGCCCTTCCTAAAATGGCTCATGGTTCATTTTTTTTTTTTTTTTTTTTTTGAGACGGGAGTCTCGCTCTATCGCCCAGGCTGGAGTGCAGTGGCCGGATCTCGGCTCACTGCAAGCTCCGCCTCCCGGGTTTATGCCATTCTCCTGCCTCAGCCTCCCGAGTAGCTGGGACTACAGGCGCCCGCCACCTCACCCAGCTAGTTTTTTTGTATTTTTTAGTAGAGACGGGGATTCACCGTGTTAAGCCAGGATGGTCTCGATCTCCTGACCTCGTGATCCGCCCGTCTCGGCCTTCCAAAGTGCTGGGATTACAGGCATGAGCCACCGCGCCCGGCCAGCTTATATTTTAATTTGATTTTTGTTCTTTTCTTCTTGCTTGCTCTATCAGAACTCTCATTCTCTTAGTATATCTAAACGAAGAGCAAAATTAAAAGATACCCCTAGGTAGAAACTGACCAAGACTAGCATTGATAGCTTCTCTCCTTCAGCTTGTTCTATGCAACTTTCCTGCCAGTGTTTGCTTATTAATGTCAATGAAGCTCCTCTTGGGGAATTTCAGACATTTTCTTCTCATTCAGTTTTCTGAAACTGTATATGAAATATCCCAACACATACATAACATACATAAGGGAATAGTGTAAAGACACCTACTGCGGACATATTTTACCTTTTTGATTGATAGAAAATTTGGATTATATTTTATGACATATCCATGGTTGTTTTAATATAAAAGCACTATTTTAGGTTACGCTATTAGCATTGAGTAAAACTTATCTTCTGGAATATGTGCCACAGTTATTTTGTGTTCTGGTACATTCCACCCAAGTCTAGCCCCAACACTCAAATTTGAAGCAGAATTCTTAGCCACGGTACTATACCACTGATAAGTCCACACTAGAATTTGAGAAGCCTGACTACTGTTTAGTTTCTTCTATCTGGATTTAAGGCTGCTCTTACTTTTAAAAAAAATTTGCAGATGAAGCCTCCAGCTGTCTCCCAGATGAGGTGGGCAGGAAAGAGCAGAAAGTTCTTACTCAAGTCTCAAGACTCAATTTATCACCTATTCCTCTTTCTATGGAGTTTATAACCCGCACCCCAAGTACATAATTGCCTTCAATTTGGCAGGACTTTAGGATCTAGGAAGAAAGATGGGATGAGAGGAGCAATTTGATAAGTATAATTTCCTCTGCCTAGTTCTTCAAAATGTAGCCCTGTACTATCTAATGTGGTAGCCACTGGCCACTTGTGGCTATTAAACACTTGAAACTGAATAATTTAATTTTTACTTTAAAAACTGAAGGAGCATATTTTTCTCTTACAAATTGCTTCATTTTTTAAAATAGGACTGCCTTTCACTTTTACTGTTGAAAAATTAGTATCAGAACTGGGATTTGTATGTAAGCATATTCATCTAAAGTAACAACAACAAAAAAAAGAATTGAGATATGCTTTAAGGGGAAAACATGCAGCAGATTTCAAAGACAAAATGTGAACTATCTCATTGGTTTTTATATTGATTACATGTTAAAATGGTATTTTGGACATATTGGGTTACATAAACTTTATTATTAAAAGTTATTTTATCTGTTTTGTAAGGTGGCTCTAAAAATACAAAATTACATATGCGGCTTACATTATATTTTGGACAGTGCTGCTCTAACCTTACTATATTTTCCAGTCCTTCCTTCAGCAGGGAAATTTCTGAGGGTCAGGAAGGGGAATCTATACCTCACTCCTTGAACACCAAGGGAGGCATGGCTGCCTGAGTCACTGTGAGGTTGCATTCAGAGGTTCTCAGTAGGGTCCTAGAGTAGTTTCCTGTGTTGCCTATTCATACCTCCATTTCCCATTACCCTAGAAATATTTGACCACAAAAATAATACTAAGTGTAGTAATTATGTGAACTATTCACCACCAAAGAAGGTGATGATTACATATATTATTAAATATTGATAGATTAACTTTGTCTCAGATTTTATTAGATTATAACAACATACATTCATATACACTTATAATCAGTCACTCAAATAGCTTTGTCATACACTTACAACTTTAAAAATTAGAACAGGCCAGTCAGTCATGGTGGCTCAAGCCTGTAATTCCCGCACTTTGGGAGGCTGAGGCAAGAGGATGGCTTGAGCTCAGCAGTTTGAGACCAGCCTGGGCAACATAGTAAGACCGCATCTCTACAAAAATTTAAAAAATTTGCCAGGTGTGGTGTCATAAACCTGTGGTCCCAGCTACAATGGAGGCTAAGGTGGGAGGATCACTTGAGCCCAGGAGGTCGAGGCTGCAGTGAGCTGTAATCATGCCAGCATACTCCAGTCTGGGTGACCGAGCAAGACCCTGTCTCAAACACACACACATACACGAGAAAAAAAGGAAAACAGAAAAGTAAGTAAAATAAAAATTAGACCAATTTTTGAAAGGCTTTCAAAGCTCATCTGCATTTTGCTAGAATTGCTTTCAGCTTTTCAATAAATACCAATAAATGCTTATTGAATAAGTGAATTTTATAATATATCAAGGAATTTACCAATAAAGAGATATGGGGTTTTGTATGTGTGTAGGTGTGGTGGGGGGGGTGCTTTGTAATATAATTGAATTGATATTGATAATAAGTTCTGGAAATAGTTTTCCTTGTTTATAAAAATTTTGAGGTGGCATATAACAACCATATAATAAAATTATGTCAATTCAAGCAGAATAGAAAAAATTAGCAGGAAAAAAGAAGACCACAAATAAATTATGAAGTCAG